AAAAAAAAAACAAAGAGGGCTTTTGGGATAAGCCACACGCATTCATTGAATTTCCCTTGGGAAAACAAAGAACAAATATAATAATTGCCATTAAAAGTTTGCGATTTCCAGGCGAATAGTAACCAAGTGATAACACATAACAACATGTCGAGATGTTTGAACTTTTCTTTTTCTGTATTAATAGCAGAAATACTCCCACCATGTAGGTGTTAATGTTTTATTGCCACACAATGATAGATAAACAAAAATACAAAAATAATTGTATTTATTAACATTTATTTAAAGCACACAGCAAAAAAAAAAAAACTGAAACGAAACTTTTTTTAAAAGTTTACTTTAGCTACCACCATCAAAACTAAAGTGTTGCCTTCCAATTTTGGTGGTAGGAGCAGAACGGGCTTAAAGGCCTTATAAAAGAAAGTTTGTGTACTTTTTCCATCTATTGTGGTATTGAATGTTACGACTTTTGCAATAAAGTTTCAAAATTTAATAGATATTTTACATACAAACATAAATAATGTTATGCTCTTGCCAAGAATATTTCTAAAAAATGGCCAATCTTTGGTATTTTGACATTTTATGGTCTAGAGGTCCCAAGAGTTTGTTTTTAATTAATTTATTGACTTGTTGGGAAGTAGCTTCTTGTTAATTTGAGGGGACTAGTAAAACATGGTTTTATAGTGGGAATTACAATAACATTTTTTTTATTTCATCTACAGATATGCCACGAAGAAGGGAAGGCCTTTTTGATGCGGAATTAAAAATCTCAGAGCTTATTATTTTTGATTACTTTTTCATAAAATTTTATCAGTTTTTTTGTTTTCTTCTGTTTCAGGTACGTCAAACAATGTATGAGGTATAGTTACAGTTCCTAAGTGTAAGTTGAAATGATCATCTATAATACTACGTTAAATATTTTTAAATTTTATTACTATAACAATAGTAATAAATTAATGTATTATTTTTTTAACCTGTATTATTGGGTTGGTAGGTACTGTAAATTACTTTAACTTCATACAAAATATGACTTGTAGAATGTGCATTTTCAACGTTTTAGCAATACTAATTTTGGGAGCCTTAGATTTATAGAAATAACCACAACAACAATTTTTTTGTAAGTGGTACATGCTTTAAAGGTATTGTTTAAGTCGACGGTTAGCAGAATAAATTCTGTAGATCGAGGTGACCTTTTGCACTACGAAGTAATGTGCATTCCGGAGGTCTTCTATAGATGACAGTTCTTATGGAGCTATTCTATAAAAAAAAACTTTCTATGGAAAAACGATAAAATCGAATTATTATTTCTTGGTGTACTTTCATCAATATGAACATTTTTATAGGTGTTATATAGATGAAACAAGTAAAAAAGCTGTAAGTTCGGCCGGACCGAACTTTGAATACCCTCCACCATTTGCAACAAATTTGGCAATTCTCAAAAGCAATAAAATCCGTTAAAAATTCTGTTAAAATCTTAAAAATACCGAAACTTAAAAAAATGGTGAATAATTTCGCTAAAATCGTCAAAATACCGAATATCGGAAGGCTTCGTTACATGGGGGCTGTACGAAGACGTGGACCTGCATCGACAATTTTCTGTCTTAAGCCTTAATATCCATAATGAACTTGAAACGCCAAATTTGAAACGATTCCGGTGAATAATGTCGCCAAAATTATCAAAATACCGAAAATCGTTAGGTATCGTTATATGGGGGCTGTACGAAGACGTGGACCTGAACAGACAATTTTCCGTCTTAGACTGTAGTATTCGTAATGAACTTTAAATACCAAATTTGAAACAATTCTGGTGAATAATGTCGCTCAAATCATCAAAATACCTAATATCGAGAGGTACCGTCATATGGGGGCTATACCAAAACGTGGACCTACATGGCCCATTTTCAATACCAAAAGTCCTGCAGACATAATATATATTTGAGTTGAATTTTATCGACCTTCTTCATTTCGTTCGGAAGCTAGAGTGATTTCCACAGACGGATGGACATCGCTAAATCGAGATAGAATTTTATGCTGATCAAGAATATATATACTTTGAAGGGTGTAAAATGTATATTTCGAGGTGTTACAAACGGAATGACAAACTTAATATACCTCCATACTATGGTAGAGGGTATAAACACTTTCAGGAAATATTTTATAGGAATACCCTTCTAAAATACATTTAGAATACCTTTCGACTTTCTACTATGGATAGTGTACCATCTGGAAGCCTTTTAGGACTTTTGTAGGTAGAATGCATTGTGGATGTCTTCTGCAGATTACGGGCTTCATACATGACAGCATTTTAATTCAAAAAATATATCTATTATTGAAGTAAAGGCGACCACCTGTAGGCCTTCTACCGATATCACACCTTCCAGTGGTCATCTTTGAATCTGCTACAGTTCTTATACGCATAGAAGTTATTGTTTAAGTGCTTTACAGATGGAAAAAAATGTGGAGGTCTGAATAATATTCTAGAGGAATTCTAGTAACGGAACACCTTTTGCAGGTCTTCTGCTAATGGAAGCCTTTCTTTGATGAATGACCCTCTACATATCATTTACCGATGGATTAATGTCCCCCACCATTCTAGATGTATTCATGTTATGAAACATCTTTGTAAAGTCTTCTGTGGTCTTTCTTTAATGGATGACCTTCTGTATATCTCCAACCGATAGATGACTTCCGAAGGAGCCCAGTTAGAAGATATTTTATCTCTGGAAGTTTCATTCGCATAAAATCGTGTTTAGACGAACTTTTGGGAGATCTGGATCTCCAGAGAAACTTCAATAAAAAGGCTTGCCATAATCGACCGATTATGGAGCTTGTAGAAAAAAAAAACTGTCTCAGATGTTGGCAATATTTTGTAGAATGAACACATTAAATGTCAAAATAAATAAAAAAAGTCCTTATGGAATTTGGAAGCTGAAGTATTTTGCAGGCAAATATTCTATACAAAGGGAAACCTCATATGCAACAAGCGTACAAAAGCATTTTGGTGCGACTTTTCCAGAAAAAAAGTTATTCGTGATGGAATTCAAGCGTGATAGTGTGATTTCTTTATATTTATCTGGAAAACCACAAGTGACTATCGTTAGAGAAATCCAGCATTTAGATGTGAATAAATTTTGTGTGTCTCGTACCATCGCTCGTTACCGCTCGTTACTAGTAGCGTAGCCCGACGTTAAGGAAGTGGACGGAAGAAAACGGCAACATTAGCAGCAATAGTTCGAAAAGTAAAGAAGCGACTTGATCGAAACCCGCGTCGCAGTGGCCGAAAAATGGCTCGTGAGTTGAACATATCACAATATTCCATTCGGCAAATGTTGAAAAATGAGCTCGGTGTAAAGCCGCTGAAATTCCAAAAACTGCAAGAACATACACCGCAACAGAAAAAAAAAGACTCAAAAGAGCTAAAGAGTTGCTTCGCTTTGTCGAAATTGGTGAACTGCCGAATTTGTTTTTCTCCGATGAGAAAACATTCGTTGTCCAGCAGTTTGTAAACAAACAAAATGATCGTGTTTACTTGCCAAAGAGGTCATCTGCAAATGGCTTCCAGAACTCGATTGGATTCCAGAACTCAAGCGCCGGCCATGGTGTGGGCCGCCATAACAGATTGTCGCTCTCCGCTCGTATCAATCGACCGTGGCATCAGAACAAATGCTGAATATTAAGACCATTAGCCACCAAAATCCCCGGATACCAATCCGTTGGACTATTGTGTCTGGAGGATTTTGGAAAGCAAGGTTGGCACTAAACAATACCAAAGTATCGATCACCTCAAGTAAGCGCTTCGCCGGGAATGGGCCAATATACAGCAGAGCAACATTCGGGCAGCATGTAACGGTTTCAGTACAGTATTAGATAGTGAAACTATATTGAATTTTTTTCTACATACTGAAGTTTCTTAGTGCTAAATTACAGATCATTCTGTAACAAACTGACGCTGAACATTCAAAATGTTGGAAAATTGAAAGTGTCTTAATGACTTGGACCGATATTTTCCATTTTTAATACAACTGTTTTCTTTTATTTATGTGTATAAAAATCTGATGATAAATGCTGCCTCTTTGCAATATCTATATGACATATTCTTTCCCATTCCACTCCCATTCCCCAGTTGCTCGCTGATTATTTACCTTTTCTTCAATCAATACCCGACTCTATTTTCTCCTGTTACCGAATATTTTCGAACAAAATATTGTTGCTTATTTACTCATCGCAATATTTCTCTATGTGTGTGCGACGAGAACGTAAACTATTTTCAATTAAAAAGTAGACGACACTTTGTAAAGTTTTTTAATTGAACGCAGCACTAATTAATGCCATAAAAACCAGAAGATGAAAGCGTACGTAGTTGTAACATTTTTTTTTTTTTTTTTTTTGCTTTTCAACATCTTTTCTCGTTCCTCAAAGTGTTTCGCTTAAACTTGTTATGAGATGAAAGCAAGAAATTATTTTATCCGTTACACTGACCTCAAAAAACAAAAACTGAAAGAAGAGAAGATATCAAAACACGAAGCATCAGTTGGTGGAAACATTGAGCTTTGGCTATTAATACAGGTTGTCAACATTTGTCGGAGAGTCAGTCAGTCAGTCTGTCTGTCTGTCTGCTTCCTCTCCTAGACACCTGGATAGTTTTGAAACTGAGGAAAACACAAAACAGGATTCAAATAACCATGGCGTGTTTGTTTTTCAATGTTGCCCGTTTTAACCTACTTTGAAGGCCAACAACGTTTGATTTATATTGTGAAGATGCAGTGTGTTGAGGTTAGTAGGAAATATGTTTTGTCTGTCCTGTGCTGTTGTGCGTCCTCTAGCTGGATATTAGTTTTCTGGTTTTTGCAATGCCAATTCACAATGAATTCCTGTGAAGTTTTTATCTGGCAGTGCGTTGTTTTCTGTTTCTTTCTCTGTAGCACTTGTTGTTTTTAATTGCAAAGAAACCTAGCCAACTAGACGAGGGTGTAGGGGGTAAACTTGTTTTCATATATACTCACATTCTTCCAATGCACGTTGCATATCCTGAATTGAGTCTTTGGGAACCTTGAATTGCAGAGTATGTGTGCCAAAGAAGCGTGCAATGCGTTCAACCAACAAGGTGTCGACCTCATTTTCGCGAGCTTCATTTTCTTCGGGTAATGTAATTTCATTCAAAGATCTTCCCACAGGAATGTCATCGGTTTTCACCAGTGAAATGCCTTCAGTTAGTTTTACATCACCATTTTCTGTATCGAAATAATGGAGGGCACGTTCCTGGAATGAAAGAAAAAAGTTGAAGAAAATAATTTCTCATTAATTTTATATGAGTAAAAAGGTGGGGACATTTCCGAAAAGCATTGAAAGGAATATTACACTACCAGGAAAAATAAAATGGTTTTCTAAGAAGCGATGTTGAGTCTCTTGGTATTTATTCAATACTCCTTTCATGTCCTTGCCTCATTCCAATGTGAGTGGGAAAAGCAATATGAAAAAAATCTAGATCGGCGGAAATGTAATGCATCACCGTGGTTATGTAAAAAGTAGAAATGTTTTCCTTCCGATTGTTCTCATAGTAAATTGAGTGGATGTTAGACCGATCAGACGGATCAAACGGCATCAAGTTTGTATGAAATCAAAATGAAACCGAAAAAAAATAACTTTGTCTGATTACATCTCAAAAGGATAATGAAAGGGGGTAATAGGATTTTGAAAAGGATTTACGTTTATCTTGGCCGGATTAGTAATATCCTAAAACATAAGGAAACAGAAAATCTTTGTTAATAGCTGTAATTAAGATTCCCCATTCGAGTGGAGTCCGATTCGAAATGCAATTATAACGTGGGTAGAAAAATGTTGTTTATGTCTATTCAAAGTTTTTACCCTTTGTGGAGGAGGTACCAAAAGGGGTAGCAACATTAGGATGACCCAAATTTGAAAAAGAGCGGATGCTCATTTTACTTTGTGGTTATTCAAAATGTTAACCCCATGTGGGGGAGGTACAAGAAGTGATGGTCCATTCTATCATATCGTTATACCAGATCCTGTATTGTTTGAAGACAATCGACCTATTATTTCATATTTTATAATATTATACTGGAAGGATTGAGCGAAATCGTCCATTTTCACACCAGACCTTGTAGTGATATACAACCAGTAAAGTTAGTCTTAAAGTCGGGCGAGGCCGACTTTACGGTATTTGTGAGAATTAAATCATACCAACTATGATTATATTTATAATTTAAAGACCAATGGAACTAATATTCTCCTCTGAGTCAACTTCTACTAAATTAACCGAGGCATTTGGGCCTTTTCAATTCGGCTTTGAAATCGGATCGAGATATATATGGGAGCTATATCCAAATCTGAACCGATCTCGTTAAAATTAGCAAAGATCTCTCTGAGCTGCATTTGATATATTTCCCAGAATATCGTTACCGAGTGCATATCAGGGCTGTGCAGGACAAATTTAATAAATCATATGAACAATATAGATGGCAGCTATATCTGAAACGATTTTAAACAAATTTGATATACTAGTTTCTAGACCCACGTTGGATGTAAGTGCCAAATTCCATCCCATTTGGGCTAATATTACACGTTTGGTGCACATGGGAGCTATATCCAAATCTGAACCGATCTCGACAAAAATCTAGCGAAGTTGTTAAAAATTCCATATTACGGCTGCGAAGGACAAAAATACTAAATCGGATAAAAAATATGTATGGAAGCTATAGCTACATCTGAACCGATTTCGATCAAATTAAATTATTAATTATTTTCAGGCTAATTGCATACTATTTGAGCTGATATTACACGTTTGGTGCATAATAAAAGGCAAATCGGATGAAGATATTTATAGGAGCTATATTTAAATTTTGACCGATTATATTTAATTTCAAAAGGATTCGTTCTTGGGTCAAACAAATGATTTGTGCAAAATCTTATCTGGATCGGGCAATAAATGCGACCTGTGCTTTGTTTACATGGAGAGACGGACATGCATAAATCGACTAAGGATGTGATTCAATGCAGATCATCAAAAGGAACTAGGGGTCTACCTCGTTTCAAACAAATACACAAAGCCATAATACCCTGACCACCTTGTGTTGTAGGGTATAAAAACTAGGATTTGCAAAGTTTGAACAAAATCGGATGATCGTTTCTAAGCGTGATATTTCGATATTTTGATTGTGGTTAGTTAAAGGAATTTAAGAATCATTATCGCAATGTTCATAAATTGATTGTTTGGAAGCTCAATAGTTAAAATTCCTTCTCTTAGAATATGTTCAATATGAAAAGATAATTTCCTGCCTTGGAAGAAGATACCTATTCCAAATTAGAAAAAAATAGTTGAAAACGGTGACTAAATTATACCAATACGCAATATCGGGCGGTACCATTAAATGAGGTCTCTACCTGTACCTATATACCTAAGGATGTTTTCTTTTCGCTGGGAACACAATCTGCATATTAGCAGCAAATTCAATTGCAATTGTAGAAATTATCTTTTTTGTACTCCTACTTTATTTACTGATGAAAATACAAAAAAATACATTTGCTATGTGAGAACAGCTTTGTCTAGAAAGTACGGGAACAAAAACTTGTAAAAATTTTAATATTGGATTGTCATCTAAAATCAACATTTCAGTCAATCAGAAGCTGTCAATCATGCTAATATTTCATTATCGACCAGATTCTCCTAGTAAAAATTTGTAAAGGAGAACGCCAAAATTGTGTCTGCTTTATTTATTTTGCTCGTATGGGAACGGGGTTAAGAAAAAATTGTAAAATTGTAAAATATAGCACAGGTTGTGGAACTTTTATCAACCTACTTTATACCGTTCGGAAACCAGTGTGACTCCCAAAAACGCCCCAATAGACAGACGAATGGACAGGGCAAAATCGACATGAAATCTTATTCTGATCGACGCTACTTCTGAATGATAATCTCAACTATTTGTAATGCGGAATGTCCCTTACTCGCTAAATAACATATACATGGAAAGAGAAACTCCTGATTTTTACATTAATGTATTTGTTTTGACATATAATGTCTGAGATCGGATATATAAGTAAATATATACGTAACTCCAACTTCGAAATATATATTTTTTTTGAAATTCATTCGATATTCAAGAGTGAGAATGTACACCATTGCTTTTATTTCAAATTTACAAGAGAATGTAGGGTTTCTAGACAATATTTAAACTTAACTCTAATGGATTATAAATACATCCGATTTTATTATATTACAAGCATAAATACGAACCTCTTACAATCAGATATTTGAGAACGAATTTTAATGTTTGGAAAGAATGATAACCTCACCTCTATTGATATTTACTAGTGAATAATATCCTACATTTCGCAGCATAATACCCGAATATATTGCAGAATTTCATTGAAATTATGGAAAAATCTTTGTTGATCGTAAACAGGAACTATAATTTATGATTTAGAGACTATATCTATTGTCACAGTAACTTTAGAACAGGACTATAGTGTGATGGAAAAAGAAATCACACGGAAAGAGGATATTGCATTGAACTTGCTGTTAAAGCAGTTGATATGTATAAAAAAGCAATGAACGCTATTAATAAAAACCATTCAAAATTAAATCATTCTCCTTCTTTGGTTCATATTACCACTTTATAGCACTTAATGTTTAAAAGTATTTAAATATGTTTTATCATCCCTTCGTTATATATTTTCCATTTAGGCACATTTGTCAATTTTAGTTCCTCATCATTATTTCAATATTCATTTTACATTATTATCCTCAACACATGTTTATTTTACTGCTTAAAATGTATTCAAACACTGCTTACCTTAAGGCACAACACCACTGAACGATCACCACATTCTTTAACCATTTTTAATGCACTTGTCAGCAAACTATCGGCCTCAGAGGCTGAGTGGGTGGCAGCCGCAGATGTTGCCACCAGGGCAAATAAACACACAAATTTGAACATGATTGATTGATTATCTTGAATTAAAAGAGAGTTTAAATTTATTTTAATTATATGGTGACACTGATTATGATGTTGGTGGTTGATGATAATCCATAAATATCCTTTTTCTTAGTGGGGTGTTTAATAACTTTTTTTAATTAAATTATTATTTTTCTTTTCAGTTTTAATAATGGTCACTATTGTCCGTTTCGTTTTAATGTTTCATATTGAAAATTAAAAAAAATAAAAACTAAATAATCCACTTACAGCGATCGATTGATCGGTCAGAAGGCAACCGGTAAACTGTGACTAGGAAACGCTCGTTGATCGAGTTTTATTCCCAACATACAACTCAAGTCATACGCACGACAATAACAATAACATATAGCGCAGCGGCAACGGCTGCGACACCGATACCGACACCGTTGGCCGCAAACGACGCTACAGTCGTAGATAAATAGTCAACTTCGCAGACCAAATTGTGCCACAAAATCAATGCAAAAATTCTCGTTTGTCACACTGTAGTAAAGTTGGTTGTTGGCTAATATTACAAGTCACTATGGTAGTTGTCGGCAAGTTAGCAAGTTGCCTATACAAAAACACATACTTATATCTATTGGCAGTCTTGTTGCTGCCACCATCTCGTTGTCAGCGTTGAGAAAGCAAAGAGACACTTGCACGGGTAACGACAACAAACAATTACCATACTCGGTATTACCTTGGCATTGCTATCTCTGTCATGGGCAAGAGAGCATTTGTTTGCAGTTACAGCAAATATTAGCTGGTGCCGTTTTTCTTTGCACAGTGGTTTTCATGTTCTCTTTCGACCAGTGCAATATATTAGCAAATTGAATGACATTTTTTTTGTTTTGTAAAATTGAGTGTGGCGAAATTCTTTCCAAAATACTCCAAACACAACAGTCCAATAGATTGGTATCCGGAGATTTTGGTGACAATTGTGCGCTGGAAATGAAGCGAGGAACCTCATTTTGTAACCATTCTTGGATGGGACGTGCTGAGTCCTGTTGGAATGTCCAAGGTCTGCTCCCCAAGGCTTTAACACACCCTCCAGAATATTTCAGCGATAATATTCGGCATTTATTCTGATGTACGGTCGATTAGTATGGGCAGAGAGCGACCATCACCATGGCCGGTGCTTGAGTTATTTGACAAGTAAACACGATAATTTTGTTTGTTTACAACTGCTGGACAACGAACGTTTTCTCATCGGAGAAATCCAAATTCGGTAGTTCACCAATTTCGGTCAAGCGAAGCAACTCTTTAACTCTCTTGAGTCTATTTTCTTTCTGTTTCGGTGTAAGTTCTTGCACTTTTTGGAATTTCAATAGCTTTACCCCGAGTTCATTTTTCAATGTTTGCCGATTGAAATATGGCGATATGTTCAACTCACGAGCCATTTTTCGGCCACAGCGACACGGGTTTCGATCAAGTCGCTTCTTTACTTTCTGAACCATTTCTGCTGATGTTACTGTTCTCTTCCGTCCACTTCTTTAACGTCGAGCTACGCTAACAGTATCACGGTAGCGAGCGATGGTACGAGACACAAAAGATTTGTCCACATTTTAATGCTGAAGTGCTCTAACTATAGCCACTTGTGGTTTTCCAGCCAAATATAAAGAAATCACACTATCACTCTTGAATTCCATCACGAATAACTTTTTTCTGGAAAATTCTCAACGAAATTCTTTTCTCCGCTTTTAAATAATATAGTGATATATAGTAATATCAGCTCATATTGAAAAGATTTTAACACCCCACCATAGTAAGGATGGAATATTAAGCTTGTCACTCCGTTTGTAACACCCCGAAATATACATTTTAGACCCCACAAAGTGTATATATTCTTGATCAGCATAAAATTCTATGTCGATTTAGCGATGTCGGTCCGTCTGTGGAAATCGCTCTAACTTCTGAACGAAATGAAGTAGGTTTATGAAATTCTACTCAAATGTATATTATGTCTGCAGGACTTTTGGTATAGGCCATTTGGTAGCAGTACCACCCTATTTTCTGTATTTTGGTGATTTTACCGATATTTTTCTCTGGAATTTTGTCAAATTTTGTATTTGAAGTTCGTATTGGATACCACAGCCTATGAGAGAAAATTGTATGTGCAGATCGATTTCCAACTTTAAACACTAAATTGGAGGATAACTCATTTGAAAAATGTGGCTAAAGTCAAGAAATTCCCTGTATCCGCCGACGAAATGTGACATAAATCATCATAATAACGAATGTTGGGAGATCCCGTTATATTGAGGCTCTAGGAAAACGTGGACTAATTTATTTAAAAACTTCCAATCTTAAAACATTTCCGAATATCGGGAGGTATCTTTATGCAGAACCTACACGATATCGTGTACCTGTAAAGCCCATCTTCTTATTTGACCTGTCTGCAGACAAAAGAAAACTCTGTGCGAAATCTTAGTTATTATCGCAAGTCGTTATTACCAGAATTGTACGCTTATCAAGAATTGTTGGGTCGTAAATGATTATTTCAATGAGTTACAAGCGGAATGACAAGCCTAATATTCCCTCCATACTATTGTGGAGAATATGGAAATTTACTTGGCAATTTTTATAGCAAATCTTGAAATCAGATAGTTTCTAAGAAACTCGTCCGATAGAAGTTGAAATTATTCCAGTGACAGCTCATTCTAATGTTTTCCAGATAAAAGTTATTCGTGATGGAATTCAAGCGTGATTTCTTTATATTTGTCTGGAGACAACAAGTGGCTATCGTTAGAGCACTCCAGCATTAAAACGTGGATAAGTCTTTTGTGTCTCCTACCATCGCCCGTTACTGTGTTACCGTGATACTGGTAGCATAGCCCAACGTCAAGGAAGTGGACGGAAGAAAACAGCAACATCAGCAGAAATGGTTCGAAAAGTAAAGAAGCGACTTGATCGAAACCCGCGTCGCAGTGGCCGAAAAATGGCTCGTGAGCTAACATATCGCAATATTCCATTCGGGGTAAAGCCAATGAAATTCTAAAAAGTGCAAGAACTTACACCGAAACAGAAAGAAAATATACTCAATAGAGCTAAAGAGTTGCTTCGATTGACCGAAAGTGGTGAACTGCCGAATTTGGTTTTCTCCCATGAGAAAACATAGGTTGTTCAGCAGTTCGTAAAAACAAAATGATCGTCTTTACTACTTTACCAACAGAACTAAAGCGCCGGCCATGGTGATGGTGTGGGCCGCGAGAATCCAATGGTCGCTAAAAAAATGCCGAATATTACCGCTAAAATATTCTGGAGGATGTATTAAATCCTTTTGAATGCAGACCTTGGCCATTCCAACAGGACTCAGCACCATCGCACTCAGCACTCGCCACCTATGAATGGTTAAAAATGAGGTTTCTGCCTTCATTTCAAGCGCACAATGGCTACCAAAATCTCCGGATACAAACCCGTGGAGTATTGTCACGGGTCAGTATTTGCGAAGCCCTCACCTCAAGCAAGCGCTTCGCCGGGAATGGGCAAAAATACCGCACAGCAACATTCGGGGAACGTGTGATGGTTTCATTAATTTCATTTCATTCAATAAAATTAAATATATATATATATATATATATATATATATATATATATATATATATATATAAATTATGGCATTTGATTTTGTTGCAGTTTTTTATCTCACCCTGTAGGTTTAATATTTATATTACGATGTACTAACTTTAGACGAAATCGGTTTCTTCCTTCGAAATTTATCGTCCCTTCTTTATTGCTCTTAATGACCAATAACCATTTACAAATATTTCTACTTCGTACCACAATGCTGTGCTGTCCAGCTACTTCGCTGCCTCAGCTGCTGCGCTGACTACATCGACATATTTTTGTGTTGCAGCAACAACATTCTTCATTGGCTTAATTCGGTAGTAAAGAGCCATCATTATCATTCAAAGTGGGTATAGACAAACAAACAAACCAAAGCATGCCTGCTTACGGCCACTAGCGGTATAATGGGTCGGAGTAATCGAAACATTAGCTTTGTCTTAAAGAAACTCTGGTTCAGAATTTAAATAAGTTGCAATTTCATTCTGCGTCGGTTGCCGATACCAAGCAATTCAAATAAAACTGCCGTTTAGTTGTCGCTGCCATAGTTTTGCTTAGTTTTTACTCTGTCACTTTCGAGCATTTGTTTGCGTTCAATTTTTATTGCCATTAAATCATTTGACAAACTACTGTTGCTATTGAACGTTATCCAATTACTCTTTCTTTTTAAAGCAATTTCGATTTCTCAGGGAATTACTCTCCGAAAGAATTTCTCTGCCAAAGTACATATGCGTTGGAAATATTGATTTCAGTTTTCATTTCACTGAAATTATAATTTCTGCACACCGCTATGAATGGCATAAATTTAGTTATTTTACTTAGGCACTAATGTTTCCTCTTCAGGTTTGGCATATATTTTTGTTAGAAATCCTTAATGTTTAATAAAAATACTGTGTCTATTTGCGATTGTATTGTTGCTATTGGAAAGTGAAAATTATATCAATTTTGAATGAAATTGTAATGCAGGAATAATTTGTTGGTAACATTTATTGCAAATCAGAAAAGATTTTATATCAATTTCACTTGTTTTTGCCGAAGAATTAACCTCTTACTCTAATTTATTTCAAAATATGAGGAAAAATTGCTAAAACATGTCCACGACTTCGTATATTTTCCCAATATCCGCTATTATAATAATACAGGGTGAGATGAAAAAAACTGCAACCAAATTCAGCCTGCTGTCATTTCTAAGCCACTCGCCCGACAGCTGTTAAAATTATTCTAGTGACAGCTCATTGTATTGTTTACAAGTGTACAAAAGCATTTTGGTGAGAATTTTCCAGAAAAAAAAGTTATTCGTGATGGAATTCAAGCGTGATTTCTTAATATTTGGCTGGAAAATCACAAGTGGTTATTGTTAGAGCACTCCTGGATTTAAATGTGAATAAATTTTTGTGTTTCGTACCATCGCTCGTTACCGTGATACTGGTAGCGTAGCCCGACGCCAAGGAAGTGGACGGAAGAAAACAGCAACATCAGCAGAAATGGTTCGAAAAGTAAAGAAGCGTTTTGATCGAAACCCGCGTCGCAGTGGCCGAAAAATGGCTTGTGAGCTGAACATATCGCAATATTCCATTCAAATTCCAAAAAGTGCAAGAACTTACACCGCAACAGAAGGAAAATAGACTCAAAAGAACTAGAGAGTTGTTTCGCTTGGCCGAAAGTTGTGAATTGCCGCTGATGGTTGCTCTCCGCTCGTATTCATCGACTGTGGCATCAGAATAAATGCCGAATATTATCGCGAAAATATTCTGGAGGTGTATTAAAGCCTTGGGCACGAAAATATTTTGGCC